TGGGTTCGATACATGCCACCTCTTGGCAGCGATCGGTCGCACGACAAAGGAAGCATAGCATGGCCACGTGTCAATTGCCTGGGCGCTGCACCCGAACAATACGGCATTCCGCTATAGCTCGGGCCTTTGGCGCCTCATCACTCCCCCGGGAGCCATATGACGGCTGGTAGACAAATGTGAACCACTTTCATTGGATGTCCGTTGGCGTGCCCACAAAAGTTTAGATCGACACGTGCCACTTTGTCCATTGGCCCACTAGTCCACTCCGCGGCTCTGGGCGGGCGGCAGGGCACTGGACTGGCCTTCAAGTCGTAGACGGGTCATTCGTCACTGTCCTACACGTCTGAATCGGGTGTCGAAAGATGAAAAACGCCAATGTCTTGGGCCCATGTGACAAATGTTGCACTTATCCTCTGATTAATCAGAGTCACCATGCCTCTATTATCCACCAAATATATCCGACGACAGCGGTCGGCATCTTTTGAAGGCCATAAAGGAGCAGGAAAACTGCCGACTAAGTAAAAGTCATAATGCAGAAGATCTACGCTTGTTTTTTTCCCAGCATTATCCCGCGTGGTCTTTGGCTGGTTTTATCTCAACCACTCTTAAAATGAAAGCACTCAACGGAGTACCAGCTCAAATCCTAGAGCGGATTATCTCTCCGTGAATCAAGCCGAGTAGTTCCATCACGACCGATGGAGTCATTGGGAGAACATCACCTCGTCGTCTGTCGCCGGCGCATGCGCGGTCCACGCCGTCTGCTGGGCCCACCTCGGGCGTCGTTCCCACCCATATATTAGCCAAATAACAGTGTCCGCGCTGTCGCACACCAATTGCCCTCTCCGTGCCATCATCGAATTAGCGCTCCCCCCCCCCCCCCCTCTACCGGACCCGCTCCGGGAAGTCGTTAACGGCGGTCGAGCGTCGTGCTCGTTCCGCGGCGACACTGACTGCGAGTGTCGCGGCGCGGCTGCATGCCGGGCGACACTCGGCGCCCGGCGCCCCCGCCCCCTCCCACTCCCAACCGGGTCCCGCCGCCGTGTCACGGAGGCTTGACAGGCCCCGTTCGGTAACGCCCGGCAGGTGACGTCATAATTGTGCTCACGACTCGGCTGATTGGCCTTGGGGGCGGGCGGGCCGGCGTCGACAGGCGGCGACGGCCGTTGCGTGCGCGGGATGCGTGCGCCCACCCGCCGCCGCGGACGCCGATCAAATCAACAGAAGAACTAATGGTTCGCTGTTGCCTGGTGCATACAAAGTCTGAGGGATCGAATCCCAGGGAGATCGGGTTTTTGATGCGGCGCTGAGGACGCCGCGGTCCTGCACTGCATGTGTGCAGCTGTTTGCAGGCTCCCTGGAAGGCCTGCATGACCTGAGTTCATCCACCGCCAGCTGGTTAGCGAGTTGGTTGAGGCAGATAGCGTTCAGGCAGTCGCAGCCCCGATTTAAGTCGCCAGACAAGATCACGGTAAATCATATGTGAACAGGCTGCCATTCAACTGCAATACCCTTCAGCAAGCGTAATGCACGATGTGTCGCGATATTTGAGGCCGACCACAATCGGCCCAAGCGTCGAAGCAGAGAAAGAAGGCATTCCACACCAGCTGCTGGCACGCGAGCATGACTGCATGCTCACCGTTCGTCATGGGGAATGTTCGCAAGCGCGTCACACCGGTCGCGGCATCGCCAAAGCTCCCCTGTGTCCACTCAAACTGCCCAGCCACAGGCGGTGTTGGCAGCTGAACGTCCGCTCAAACTGCCCAGCCACCGGCGGCACTGGCAGCTGACAAAGGCCCATGAACTCACATTCACATCTAATGCTTGTCACAAAGAGAAAATATATTGGGAAACGCAAGGGGTTCCATGGGCTTTAAGTGATCTTAGTGAAGGTGGTCAGGAGTCGCACGCCCCTCCTCCCGCGCGGGATGAGGGGGCCGGTCTTTACACGAAGAGCTCTACCCGACGCCAGGCCCAATCCTCAACCGTCGCCGCGACCCCATACCACTACCAACCATTCGCGGCTGGTTAGCATGATCCATGCCACTAAAGCGGCAACACACCAATTACGCGCCCCGTCGACACGGCCGAGCGCGGCGAACAGCGTGATGCGTGCTGCCGGGCGGCGGGGCGAATCGCTTTTTAATACTGGAGAGTGAGCTGGGCTGACCTGGCCGTCTGCGGGCCGCCGGGCGGCGGCGGCGGCGGCGGCGGCGGGCGGCGCGGCGCCGCTGCCCGGCCCCGCTCCGGCCCGGTAGCGTGGCCGAGCACCGTCAGGCGGCGGCGCGACACTGGTTCCATGCAGAATCGGCGGTCGCGCGGCGGCGATACGGGCCAGTTTGCCGTGCGGCGCGGCCGGCGAGTGGACCGAATGCGAGCGGGGCGATCCGCCGCCGGCGACGGAATTAGACTGGTCATTGTCAGCTCCAGGCGGCGTGCAGACGATTTCGGCGCGCCGCACGCCGCGAGGCGCACCGTCGTAGGGTTGTCTCCGCTGGCAGGCGGGGCGGGGCAGGTGGGGCGGGGATTGAGCGCTGTCGTCGGCGGTGACCAGTGGCGAGTGCCTGATGCGTGGTCTGTACGCACACGCGCACTCATGGCCCAGTCTGCTGGCCCTCATCCCTCATCGCATCGATCAGCTGCGTTCATTCGACATTGAGCGGTCACCTGCACCGGGACCGTCGCCTCTCCTGCCCGGATCGTCGCCGTCGACGACACGCCGGAGGATCCGCGCGGCGCGGCGGCGCCGGCGCGCCGTCGCGGCGTCCAATTAAACGCTGGCGCCGGCCACCGGCCAGCCCAATCACCGGCCCGGCTGGGAACCGGCCGCCACCAATCACGCGCCTCCCGCGCCGGAAATGAAGAGCAAATAACCTAATTGATGGTCGTCGCGCGCAGAGCCGGGATCCATTTCCAAGTCGCGCGCGGCGCGGCGGCGCAAACAATCTGCGCGGCGGCGCGCGCTCGTTTATCTCGTCCCCAGTTGCATATTTATACGAGGCCGGTGCGGCGGCGCGGCGCGGCAATTCGTCTTGCGGCGGTTGCGGCGCGGCCGGCGCTGCGTCGCCGATCCGGGAAGGCTGCCATACTTCACCCCCGCCCACTCGCGGGCCGCCGGTATTAATCCTATTAGCTGTGGAATTTTAACCAATCCACCAGAGCAGGTATACAAACAAGTTGTGACTAATTAAATTAGCGTGAAATGAGGTGGGGTAGGCGGGTGAGGGCGATAAAAATAAAGCATTGCCCCGGCCGAGCCGCAAGTACGTGTTTATGGTTGCCACGAGCTTTTTCCCGTGGTCAGACCCGTTTAAGCAACACGATACTGCGGCCGATATTTTAACACTTATCTCGTTCTCATGCTAATAAGGATGCAGCGTAACGTCCATGGCGCGCTCTTTGCCCGCCAAACGCTTCCCTGACATGAAATATCGGCGGCCGATTCGCGTCCGAGGGTATGCTGCAGAGCGATGGACTCTGTTTCCGAGTACCAAACGCCCAACAGCCGGGCCGAGGAATGCGAACGTTGCCGCCCGCCTACGGACAATTACCGGCCCGACCAGCAATTGCCCGGGGCGCTTTGCAAGGCTGCTTCGGAGAGTGGCTCGCGTGCTTTCTCGATGAGTCGGCACACGTGCTGGGAAATATTAACTGTAACTGGGAAATCGACTCAGAGTGGAAAGGCCAGAATTGATCGCCTCGCTTCCGTTTGAAGCCAGATCAACGACGCAGTGAGGGTGGGCTTTGGGGAGAGGCTGGCGTGAAACAGTGATTCAGACTCGGGGCCCTCTCCGGGCCGAGACGAAAGAAAAAATCACATTCGCAAGATGAATGGGCCGCACTTGCATTTCGCGATTGGGGAGCGTGGTTTGCTTGGCATTCGGCCGTACCCGCCCCCCATTACTTATAATAAGGTCACGTTGTTCACACCATAAATCTTGGCGTCCTTGTTTGCCGTTGGGGAAGGCTGCCATCGCCCGCCATTTTTCAAGGCTCCTCTGCGCATGACAGCCGCAGTCAATTTTGCTCGCCGCCGACCTGCTAGCCGCGCCGTGTCCGCCGCCGTCTCTCAGAGACCACGGCCCTGCCGCCGCCCGCCCGGCGCACCCATCCGGCCGCCGACTCCGCCGCCGCGGCGCCCATGGGCCATCTGGCAGCCCGGGTCCCGATCTGGCAGCCGGTCACGGCCGGCGGCGGGCGCTCGCTTGCGTGCGGCCTCTTTGTCCCGGCGGCTAACAGGGGGCGGCGCGGACGACAACAGTCATACATTAGGCAAACAGTATGACTGATGGCCCGGCGGAGGTAATGGCTCGATGGTGTGATGACATGAATCGCCGCGCGGCCGGCGGCGTGGTATCTGGCGCGGCGACAGCGCGGCCGCCTATCGCCCGCCGCCGACGCCATTTGGAAAGCAGCCCTGCTCTGATTGTGACGGTCACGGCGCGTGACGCGCCGGCGCCGGACGGCGCGCGCCGGGTAATCACCCGGTCGCCATGGCAACCGACGAGAAAATTACCCATTCAATGTACTTAATATGGGAGTTTTCGGACGTTGGTGAAAAATGCAAATTAGCGATGCCTACGTTGGAATAGTGGGGAGCTCATGACCATGGCGCTGTGTTATTTTGTACGGAACGTCATTGTTAATGAACGCTTAATGCAACATGCAATTTGTGATGAATGCAGGACGACTCACAATTACGGATTGGAACACAGACAAATGACGGACGGAAAGATCCGTAGTTCCTGCAGTCATCCTGTTTATAGGGCTCTAAAGCCCGAAGCTACAAACTGCGCCTGAAATTGGTATACTGCATATAATCGTTTTACTACACTCGGAGCGCATTAAAAGACCGATGCTCAAATAAAAATTAAATTAGATTGGGAGCGCCATTGTGCGCGCCGTAGGACGGCGGAGAACCGAGGCCGTCTGTGTGGGAACTCCCTCCGCTCGGATGGCCCGTGTAATCGTGCCGGCAGAGAGCGGCGGGAAGCGAGACGTACCTGTATGCGCGCCTCTGTCAGGCCGACTTTCATCGCGAGCTCCTCCCTGAAAACAGAAAACGACACTCAGACGGCGTCGAGCGTCGACAAGTTTCGCTGCAAAGCTCGAGTGTTGGGCGCTGGTAAGAACACTCGCCCGGTAAACAATGCAAACGATCGGCGACGGGCTCGTCAAGTGTCGACGCTTTGTGTCAGAAGATACGCGCAGCTGGGCTGCGTTGATTCGGTGAGGAAAGGGAAAACTTGCCTACATCAGCAGAAAGACCGGATGCCAAAAAGGCGGTACTTGCCATCCGATTCATCCGGTCATGAAATAGCTCCGACCGGTGGCCATCCAACCTCCCAAGCAGTCCGACCTCTGGCCTATCCAGGCATGACCTATCTAGGCCCGGTGTATTCTTACTCCTCTGTATCCTAGCTTCTTACTCCCTAGCTACTGATGTTTGAGACTTGGTCGTCTAAACGACTTATGGCTGTTGCGTAGTCCTGAATGACATCTCACTCACGTGGTACATGTAAAACAATGACAATTTGTGTTAAGTTACCCTACTGTAATGAGCTCCCCCAATTAAGTCCGGCATATGAAAAATGATATTTAACAGGCGGGTTTCTGAAATTCTGAACTACAAGTGATTAGCTCCCCATTCAGAATAAACATACTGAGTTCTCCATGATGCGAACCGGCATAACAGCATGCATTCGACATCCCACAGTCGTCAAGCTCGCTGAGTCCCCATCATTCAGATAATGACAACCTGTCTGCATCATATCACACACACAGTAACCCCGTCGCCAGCTGCGGTGGAGGTACTCAAGGGAATGCTCCAGCGAACAGGGTCGCAGCTCCGTGAAACAGGTTGATGGAAGGCTAAGCACGATGTCAGCCGGCTAAAGGTGTACCCAATGGCTGATTTCTTTTCGCGTTAGAGCGACAGCTTTGTCATTTGGAGGGCCTTGGTTTGGAAATTTTAATTCTTCTCCAGCCCCTTTGCTCTTGACGGCAGGTAGGGCCAAATGGAACCAGAAACCGCGGAAAACGTCACCGCAGGGGTATCCATTTTCATCCTTTTTATCCGCTTTTTGCATTTCTTGAATTACGTTCAGTAGACTAGTTGGACAGGACCGTTGCCAAGTTGGAGGACTCAACTATGAGTTTGGAGGGCAGCGCGCTCAAGGTCCGTGACTTAGCCCCCCCCCCCGTCCCGCCACGCCCCCTCACCTGGTGAAGACATCCGGGTAGTGGGTGCGCGAGAAGGCCTTCTCCAGCTCCTCCAGCTGGAAACTGGTGAAGGTGGTACGGTAGCGACGCTGCTTCCGCTTGGGCGGGAACTCGGCGTCCATCTCGACGTCGCCGGCGGCGGTGGCACCCTCGGCGCCCTCGCCGCCACCGGCCGCCTCCTCCTCCTCGTCTCCCTCGCCCTCCACATCGATGGGCCGGTCCTCGTCGCTGGCGGCGGCGGCGGCGCGCTGCCGCTCCGACTCGGCGCCCTCGGCGGCCGGGGTCATGTCAGCGCGCACGCGCAGCAGCTGGACGGCATCCTTGGGCGCCGGCGCCGCGTCCGGGCCGGCCGGCGGCGCCGCGCGCTCCGACACTCCCATGGGCAGCGGCGACGGGGGCCGACTGGCCGGGCGCTCGCTCGCTGGCTCCGGACTGGCGGCCGCCCGCGGCGTCGAGTAATCTGCCGGCGGAGGGGTCAGGTCAGCGGAGGCGGGTCACGAGAGGCCGGTCACCGGGTACGGCCATGGCAGGCCGCATAGATCAGGTCACCAGGTTATCATGGCGGGTCGCATGGGTCAGCTGGCGAGGGTCAGGTTACAGGGTACGCCCACGGCACGTCGTATGGATCAGGTCATGGGGTCAGGTTACCGGAGTCCGGTCACAGCGGTCGGGTCAGTGCAGGGTGTGCAGAGGGGTTGGTCGGGGTGCAAAGGTCAAGTCGGGTCAAATGTCAGTGTTGGGTGATAAATTACGAAATGTCACTGTTTACTTGCCTCATGTCGTCAGGCAAAAGAAAGACGTGCGTCGATGGATGATGTCAAGGCACAAACCAGATACCATAGCAAATAAAGGCCGCCCAAATAGGCTCCTCTCAAGTAGTTCCTCACCGCACAACATAATCCTGAAAAGCAATCACGCGTGCCGGCGTGACCCCCAGCGGGGCACGGTGTTGGGTTTCTCCTCACACCATTCGCAGGCTCTCCGCTCATCAACAACGGCGCTTTCCTTCACGATGAGTTCCCGTTTCGTTATGAAGCCATTCATTCGCACATCGTTGGCGTTGCATGAGGACATGTGTCAGCACTCTCCGTGGAGACACACCCATTTGCTTTCACCTCCGCGGCGCGAGATGTGCACGGCTTGGCGCCCGTGATGGATTGGTGCCAAGCACGCACCCATCGGCGGGTCCCGCGCTCACTGGCGCCGGCCTGGCGCTGCACTGGCGCCTGCGAGTGTTGGTGGGCCGCGCGGGGTCTGCAGCGCGGGACACGGAGCGCGACAGTAGACGCTCGAGCGCGCTCCGAGCTCGCCCGTGCGGCACAGCTCTAAAACAATTAGAACAATCGAGCATTCCCCTGGCGGAACCGATTATTTTATTTCCCAGGCGTTAGCGACGAATGGTTTCCGGCGCAGCCAGGCGTGGCTCCAGCGGCGGAGAGCGACCGTCGGCGTCGGACCGGCCAACATGGCGCTCCCCCTCCCCTCCCCTCCTCCCTCCTCCCGCGGGGACGTCAACAGATGACCGCATGCGGCCACGCGCGGCAGGAGCAAGCGACGCGGCGGCGGCCGAGCCAGCGTCGAGGAGGCGGAGCCAGCGGCGCGTCATCTCGCGATTGGCGAACACGGGGCGAAAGCGGCGCGGTGCGTGGTCGGCGCGGGCGGGTGCGTGGCGCGGACCGGGTCGGCGCCGATGTCGTCGATTGACAGCTGCCAACCCTCCCTGCCGGGCGGGGAAGGGCGCGGGCCGCGCAGCGATAGCATCTCCGGAGCGGAGGTGCCCCCGGCACGGTCCGCCCCGCGCGCGACCGAAGCCGCCGGCGTATCGGCCCGAAATCAGCCAGATCGGGGCGGAGCAGCCGCAATTTGTACTGTTTACAAATACGCCGCTCCACCTGCCAGCTCCACCCGTGCTATCTGCCACGCGGCGACACACGAAACCCGTCAGTAGCGCGTGCTCAGGTGACCGAGGCGCCGCCGCTCGGCCGAGCCGCTGGTGCGACTGGCGGCCGAACGCCCATGACTCCGCGCCCCCAGCCAGCCGCGGCGGAAAAGCGCCGTGCGAGCAACCCGCGCGAGCGCAAACGCGTCACGCGGCACGTAGGCGGCGCCGCGCGCGGCCGGGCGTCGTTCGTGGTGCCGATCATCCGATACAAGCCGCCACTAAGTTAGCGGCGGCTACCACCCTTTCCGGCCCATTGTCCTGCCACGGCAGGGCAAAACGGCGCGCGCGGCGGCCGCTTTAAAGCCGACCGGCCGACGTTCTCACTTTAAAAGTCCGACCGCTATCGCTCCGGTCGCGCATCGACATTCAGCGGCCCCGTAAATTGCAACCTGCCAGTCGGGCCGGGCCGGGCAGGTCGTCTTGTCGTGGGGCCACTTTGTCAAAACGGGGCTCGCCAGGCTGCATGCTAAGCAGCCGTCGGGCGTCGATGCTATCGGACACTGTGAGAAAACAGCACGTCAGCGCTATTGATATATCGGCGCGACAAAGTGACAATCTCAGCGCCACCGCGCTGCCGCGCCGACAAAGTGACGATTTCAGCGCCGCCGCGCTCCCGCGTCGCGCGCGGCGCGCGCGGGAGCGGCGGGAAGAGGCGGATCAGAGGCGGGTACGGTGGGCAGATGTGAGACGGCGGGCAGAATGACGGGTGATGGGAGAGCAGCTGAGCAGATAGCGGCTCAACCCCTCGCAACACACCGCTAAGCCCGTCGATGCAGCTGGGTTGCGCCGTGCTATGTGAGTAGGCATTGGTGTACCAGTAAGGTGGCCCGTGTACAGATGCCGCGTGTCAGTTACCATGCCAATACGTGGGGCTCTCTCAGCCACACTGTTCTCGGCTTCCCCTCGTCTGCGGGGCCTCGCCCCGGCCCAGTCTCTCTATCCAAGCCGGACCTCTGAGCCCTAATCTGACCTGACCTAGCCTGACTTGACCCGAGGCCTAGACTGGCCTGACCTGACCTGACCTGAGGCCTAAACTGACCTGGCTTTAACCGACCTTAAATAACCTGTCTGACCTGACCTGACCTGAGGATAAACTTAACTTGCCTTAGCTGACCCGGCCTGACTGACTGACCTGACCTGGCACAACCTGACCTGACCTTAACCGACCTGACCTGACCTGACCGGGCCGAGTCAGCGTCTGTCCGTCGGTCCCCGAGTCGGAGCTCGGGCGTGCCGGCGCGGCCGTATCGGCGGACAGCCAGCCAGGCCTGCCGGCGCCGGCCGTGTACCGGCGCCGGCCGTGTACCGGCGCCGGCTGTGTACCGGCGCCGGCCGTGTACCGGCGCCGGCTGTGTACCGGCGCCGGCTGTGTACCGGCGCCGGCTGTGTACCGGCGCCGGCTGTGCATCGGCGCCGGCTGTGTACCGGCGCCGGCCCGGCAATAAAGCGGGCTCGTGACGGCTGCGGCGCCGAGAAGTTTAAAGTCTAGAAGCCGGATAAAGTCTAATGCCGGATAAAGCCGGCCCGGGCCCGCCGGACGACAAACAAAATTATCGCGGGCGAGCGGCGCTGCTTTTATAATATGGCAGCGACGGCGGCGCAGGTGCAGCAGACTGGCAGATTCTGATACTGCAGCATCACACATAGTCAATGAGACCGAACTAGGCGACCGGCCCGGTGAATGGCAGCCATGGCCTTTCGACGGTGAAGAGCAGGTGACCAGCAGAGCATATTGGCTGACAGAGAAACTAATGCCCTTACAGACAGTGTGCTCTCTGACACGTTATGACGATGTGCTTGTTCGTCCATTACAGATAACATATGCACTGGGGGAGGCATTGTGATGTTAGTTTCGCGGTGGCTATGTGCATTGTGAAATAATCGAGAAGGATCATGGAATGCTCTCCAGCGCGCGAAAGCCCGACTGCTCTTACTGATACCATCCTTGTCGTCATGCATCTGGAGCTTAAGCAACACCACAAACGGAGTTCTCCGTACGACCTCGGCTAATCTGCAGCCCACCTCTCTAACTAGAGCATGGCCTCTGTTCAGCTTCCTTTGAACGTGGCCCCTGTTCAGCTTCCTTTGAACGTGGCCCCTGTTCAGCTTCCTTTGAACGTGGCCTCTGTTCAGCTTCCTTTGAACGTGGCCCCTGTCCAGCGCCTCGGCTGCGGCCGCCACGCAACGCCCCCCTTAGGGGGATATCGCCCATGAGATGGGTCTGAGTTTCCGCATTTTTGCATGGCTGCCGTGCTGAGTCGCGTGGGCAGCGGGCCCAGAATCTGCATGCGCATCAATACCCTGAATACGTGGCCTCAGAATATTCACAGTGTCGGAGCTCCGAGGGACTGCTAGCTGTTTGATGGCTGTCGGAGCGGTAAAGTGCCGGCGCCGCTGCATGCGTGAATCGGATGAGTTATTACCAGCTAGGCCTCGCTGGACACGCTCAATAAACACTTGATTATTTCGGATTGCTAGTACATTTGATTTGGCAGTGCTCGTGACGAGTGCCGTTTGTTTCATTTCATAATTAAGGTACCGCGACATCATATTCAGTTACGTAATTTGTATGCCTCAGACACAGCGCTGGTGACACGTTAAAGACAAATGATTACAGGTTGGAAAAAGAGCCTCTGTAAAACAACCGCACAGTCCAGATTATTCCCATGGGCTCTACTCGAGGATTACGGGACAGGAAAACCGAGAGTACATGATTTGTGGATGTCAGTCAAAGGCCAATTTAAAGTGACACATTCACAAGAAAAAAACATGGGAAAACGGTGGCGTAACCGATCCCTGACTTAGCTCTTTGTGGCAAATGACACCGTTGTCTCGCCGAACCTGACAAATCAGACGGTTGGTCGTGAGCCAGGAGCGTCAAATTACCCCCGTTAATTAGTCTAGCGGTGAGATCAGAGGACGCCCACACTTCATACACCTTCCTTCGCAGGTCCTTGTGCGACTGGGATACGGCCCTCCGCTTTGAAGCGCATTTCGGCCTTTTTATGACAGGATCGACAATGGTAGCGTGCAAAGAGTAAAACTCATCAACACTAGCCATACGTAATAATTTCCTTTTATCCTAGCTTTTTCAGTGGAACACGGACTCAGCGGTGAGGAGCATTACTCGCTTCAAACAAAGGATAATTAGAGTACAATTTGGACACTTTGTGGGAAGGAAGCCAAATAAAAACCTGCATTTCGCCATAGGCACGCAACCCACTCACCCTGGTGTCTCATCCGATAACACGGCAGCGGTGAGCCAAGACCACGGACCCGCCACACTGATGCAGCACCCGACCCGGCCAGAACGGCGCATGGTCC